GCTATGCTTCATAATATGCATCTTTAATATATCTTAATTTGACTTCAAATTATAATATTTCATGTAAAATGCCTGGCCTCTATAAAGTATAAAAAAATACACTCTATCCTTTGAACCATTGTCATCTATTTTAATTCTACATTATCATAAACTTCATGACAGGTTGTTATTATTTTTTAATGATTCAATTATTTTAAAGGAGTTTTTAAAATGAGAAAAACCTATTTTATATTTAGGAACACAAAAATCTTCAATAATCTATTTTCAAATGACCTCTGGAAATTGTATATACAAACAGAACTGGATCATCACCAAGGAGGATTTGCCCCAGAAACACCTGGTAGGTTTAACATTCAAAACCCAATCATGTAATTCACCATATAAATAGAAAAAAGGGTGAGAATCCAAATAATCATCTCAAAAGGTAAGGGTATAACATCTGACAAAATTTCATGTCCATTCATAACAGAGCATCTCAACACTTAGGAATATAAGAAACATAAGAGAACTTCCTAAATTGCATAAAGGGCATCTGTGAAAAACCTGGAGCTAAAATCATACTTAAGGATGAAATATTTAAGGTTTTCTTCTTAAATCTTAGAACAAAGCAAAGGTATCTATTCTTGACACATTTATGCAACATTTTACTGGATGTACTATCAGTGCAATAAGGCCAGACAAAAAAAGACCATAAAAAAAGAGGTCAGCTCTCTTTATTCACAGATTACATATGATTGCTGTCGTGAAAATTCTAAGGAATCTCCAACTACCATAATTAATAAGTAAATTTAGCAAGATTGCAGAATATAAGGTCAATATTTAAAGTCAATTACATTTTTATATACTGTGGCATTAAAAGAACAATTTCATTTTAGAGGCATCAAAAAATGTAACATACATACTAAGGAACAAATTTAACAGAAGACTTTTAAGACTTCACTACAAGGAAGACAAAACTTTTCTGAGAGTGAATAAAAAAAAAAAAAACCCTAGTAAATGGAGAGATATAGCATACTTATGGATTAGGATATTCAATATTGCTTAGATGTCAATTCTCCACAAAATGATCTACAAAACCAATGCAACCATAATTGTAATTCCACTAGGCTTTTTTTTCTTTTAACAGAAATTGACAAGCCAATTTTAAACTTGACACAGAAATGTCAATGACCTAGGATAGCAAAAGCAACCTTGAAAAGAAGAATAAATTTGGAATACAAATACTGCTTGATACAAACTTTCTATAGAGGTATAGTATAGTATTAACCTAACAGTTGACAAAATGGTCAGTAGAACAAAATGCATTTATAGGATCATTTGATTTTTTTTTCAAAGGCTCTAAAGAAATCCATGAGGAAATCAAAATCTTTACAACATATGTTAGAAGAACTAGATATTCATATGGAATAAATAAATGTTGACCTCTACCTCACACCATACACAGAAATTTAGTTGAGCTGGATTATAGACCTAAATGTGAATGCTAAAATTAGAAAGCTTCTAAAAGGAAATAGAATTACCACTTGGAGGTAGGAAAAGTTTCTTCAACAGTACACACAAAGTAATTACCATAAAAGAAAAAAAGTGGTATATTAGACTTCATCAAAACTATATACATTTGTGCTTATCAAAAGACACCCTTAAGTAAATAGACAAGTTACAGAACGGGAAATATTCACAAAACACCTACCTGACAGAGAATTGGCATTGAAGATACATGAGTAAATTCCCTAATTCAGTAATAAAAGACAAAGAACCCAACTCAAAACTGGACAAAAGTCTTTAACAGACACTTAGGGAAAAAAAAAAAAGATCTAACATGGCCAATATGCACATTAAAAAGTACTTAATATTATCATCCAATAGAAATTCATATTAAACCATAATGAGATACTACTACACATCTACTGGAATGGCTAAAAATAAAAAGACAAATAACTCCAATTGTTGAAGAGGAAGTGCAGCAACTATGAGTCTTAAAAATTATAGGCATTAACCAAAAAGACATGAAAGCATATGTTCACAAAAAGTCTTGTAGAAGAATTTTCATGGATTTATTCATCCCAGCCAAAAAGTAGAAACAGCCCAGATGTTTATCAACAGCAAATATTTTTAAACAGGGGTATATTCATATACAATGAAATACTATTCTGTAATAAAGAATAAATCTCAGAAATATTATGCTGAATGACAGAATCCTTTCACAAAGAGTACACATTTTAGGCTTCCATTGATAAGAGGTTCTAGAAGAGGGCAAACTAAAATATGATGAACAAAGTATCAGGACAAAGATGGCCTATGGGGGAAATCCCATGACTAGGAAGGGGGAAGAGAGAACTTTCTGGGGTAAAGGAAATGTTCCATATCTTGACTGGTGGAAGCTACACAAGTGTATGCATTTGTCAGAAGCTGTAGAATAGTGCACTTAAGATTTCACATTTCAGTGTGTTTAAATTTTGTCTAAATGAAAGTACTGTAAACAAATATTGAACTATAATTAATAATATAGATACTGACATATTTAGGGATATGGGTACTAATATGTGTAACTTAGTTTAAAATGCACCAAAAATTGATAGATGTATAAATAGATGGATATGTGATGGGGTAAATATAGTAAAATATTGATGGCAGAATGTGGCGCTCACTATACAATTCTTTCAAATCATCGATGTTTGAAATGTTAGAAAAAACACTGCATGTAAAAACCTTCTATCAAATCCAAAATGCTAGACAACAAAACATGTTCTTACTAGCTCATTTAATTCTTAACACTTTCTAACTGAAAGTTTAGGTGGCTAACTCTTCCCAAAAAATCTTTATTAGCCAAGTAGTGACATGGTACTACCATGGGTTCTTAGAAGAAACTTTCGAGATAGGATAATGAAAGTCAATATCAGAAAGAAAATTATTTCCTAAAAGAACAGCAGAACATTACAGTAGGATGAAAGACTTTAAGATGTTAAACCAGACTCTATGTACAATATCTGTAACAGGTGGCCCTAACAACTGCAGTTCAGGCTCCTACTACGTGTCACTTTACAAGGAGCTTTATTTACTTTGTTTTATATAATATTCACAATTACATTGTGAGGTAGGTATTACTGTCCCTGTTTTACCAATGAGAGGGTTGACTTTCCTGAGGAGAACAATTTGCCCAAGTCACACAGCTGTCATGGGGTGAAGCCAAAGTTTTAAGGCAGGGCAGTCTGTCTCCAAAATCCATGTTGTCAACAGCTATGCTTCACTTACTCCGTCTGAACGTCCAGAGAATGGGAGAACTCACAATCATCTACAATACCCTCTTCCACTGCTGAATAGCTCTGCTTGATATATTTTTTTTCCTTGGTCTACAACTGGACTCTAAAACATCTACCAAATACACAGTTCACATTTTTGCCAGGTGTCCTTGTCAAAAATCAAGCAAATTTGTCCTTTCAAAGTCATCCAAGGAGAAAACTTTCAAGAAAAAGTGAAGACAGAGAACACACACACACACACACACACACAGGTGATCCTAATGTTGGGAGAAAGCAGGTGTCTAACAGTTGGCCAAAATGTTAAATTACTAGAGCAATTCAGTTTCCCAATTTGCCATGATGCCAGCTACCCAGAATTAACAAAGACCTGCATATATCAGCAAACAGCTGAAGATAATTTTCAGCAACACTGTGCCCAAAGCAAAGAAAGGCATTCTAAAGATCTCATTAAACCTTTAGAGCCTGAATGATCAACTGATTTCATTGTAAGCCACAGACTCTGCCTCCTGCACTCTCCAAAGTATCTCTCGAATCAACATTTTTCTGGGGAAATGATGTGTCACAGTGAGCAAGCCTACTTGCCAGGTCTTGCAAAATTGATCTGTACTAGTCCTCTCTCAGGGACTTAGGAAACATTTCCTTTTGTTTGTCCTGTTTGAGGTTTGGTGTTATGCATTGTAGGGTCTGCCCTTCTCAAGATGGCCAAACTATAAAAGACAGTTCTTTGGATATCATTTGCTTCTTGTCTTCTCAGAAATTAGTGCAGCTTCTGAGATGGCTTATCCATCAAGGCAGTCAGTGACAAAGAAGGTTCCCATCCTTTTGTACATCAGTGTCCCACCTCTATTATTAGGAAATCAATAAATTTTCAGAGTGTTTTAAGGTTTTAGGGAACCAACATGAACCAGAGGGTAAAAAAAAAAAAAAAAGAAAAAGAAAAAGAGAAATTGTTCACAAGTGTTTGGGTTGGCTAAGTACTGTTCAGTAAATGGTAACTATGAAGCTATATTTTAAGAGGCTTGGTGGTATCCACTTCCAAAATTCCTTCACTGCATATCATAAAACGCAAATACACACACACACATACACACACAAACACACACACACTTCAGCAATTCCTAATCCCTAAGTAACTGGGTTCAATGACATGAAATATTCCTCCTAATTCCAGCCCTCCTACTGAGTGAGCTCAAAGAAAGCAGTTAGTCAGACCTGAGGGCACTTGTTTCCATGACTCCTCAGACTCTAAAATTGATGAAATCATCCTTTACCCCCTCATTCTGAATCATTCAAATGGGATATAGGTCAATCCTAAAGCTATTGTACTTTTATTCCAAATAATGGTACTCAGAAAATGGTGGAAATAGAGAAATAGGAGAGGGGTCAAGACTGAGTTATCTGTGAGGTGAAAGTACACCTTGATCTAAAATGTAGCTCTCGGTTCAACAACCTAACGCATCAGCAACGTGGCTAGGTCTAGGTCTGCCCAGCTAATGACCGCAAGTCTGGGTAAACTGAATGAATCCCCAGTTAACTGTTACCAGCCAACTGCCAGCTCTCAAGTGTCACATCAAACCCAGAAGGTAAAATTTACATATTAGTTCAGAAAGAATAAAGCCACTCCTATCAAAACCAAATCCATTCAAAATAGAACGGCCTCAGCTATGTTTTAAAAACAGTGACTAGTAAACCAATTATCCATCTTCAAAAGAATTCAAATGGCTTTGAAATAAACAGCAGAAGCTTTATTCACAAATGTGTAAGAAAAGTTCTTATAATGAAAACCATTTCTTGCCTTCCATCAACCATACATGGGATGAGAAATAGAAGTTCTTAATTAAAATCAGAATTTTTGTTTTGTATGTTCATTTTTTTGTGATTCTTTTTTGCATAGGGCACTCGTAGTGAAGTCAGAGGCAACTACTCATTTCAACCCTAGTGCCATCTTGACACCACCTTGAAGATTATGATATTGTAAGGGCAGACGGCAGCAGGAAATGCTCTAACTGCAACCTTAGCTGTTGGCTTGAGCAAACTCAAGCACTATCAAAGACAAATACACTTTAATATTCCAAATGCCTCCCAACCATTCATAGATCATAAATCCAGCAGCAAGAATCCTCAGCAATACTTATCTCCAAGTCAAGGCCAACTTTTTCAGACTGAATACTTTTCTTCTTGAGATGGCCTGCTGGCAGCCTGAAATGACGAAACCAATATTTATATAAGAATATGACCATGCAGAAAAACCAAAGACTTGTTTTAATAATGCCTCAGATGTCTTTTACCTAGAGGATAGTATCTTGTGTTTTCCTAAATTTAGAATTAGACCATTAAACATAATGGTCATACTCTCATCAAAGTAAGTCATACAGAATTCCTTTGCTTTGGAATTTCTAAGGGAGAGTTTTCAAAGTCTTCATTTTAGAAGAAAGATTAAACACTGGATTTTTAAAAATTCATTTAGGTAGAAGAAAGCACATCCTCTCAATTTATAATAGCTGCCATAGACTTGGCAAAGTGAGTGCTCTGTATATTCTACCTAAGAATTATTTACAAGGTATCCTATCAAAGCTCAACCTTATTTCTGACATGACATACATCAAAAAAATAAAAGACATTTTTAAATTCCTTCTGAATCTGTCAATCTATTACCCTCTATGTCAAGAGCATGAACAACTGGGAACTTTACTGTGTGTGTGACACAAGAAAGTTGATATACTCAGTGAATGCAAAATGAACATAGAGCAAGATGGAAAATGGTCAGCTCCCCAAAGGGGGACTGTAACAATCCCCTTCTAAAGAGGAAGGGTGTGAACTGGAAAGAGCTCTGGATTGGAAGGATTCAGTTTTAGATTCTGACCCAGGGTTGTGAACCTGAAGCAAATCATATTACTTTTCTGGGTCTTAGTTTCTTTGTATAAATAACAAATATATAAACCAGACCTATTTTGCCTGCAAGTGATAGAAACCCCATTAAAAATAATTTAAATGAAGAAAAATTGGAATTATCTCATGTAATCAAAATATTTAGGTAGTAGACCTCAGGAAAGGCTGAATCTAGGTGCTTAAGGGGTCTAACAGTTTACTGTCTCTCCTTTGCTCGGTGTTCCTATCTACTGGCTTCATTCTCAGAAAGGCCCTCCTCAAGGAGAGACAAACAAGGCCTTTGGAAACTCTAGGCTTATATTCTATCTGCTGGGTAACAATAGTGGGAGAAGAGAACACATTTCTCAATGGTTTCAGCAAAACTCCTAGAACTAGTATTCATAAGCTTTAATTGATCTGATGAGCTCACACAAACTCCTGAACCCATAAATGTGACCAAGATAATACATATTCACGTTGGCTTGAGACTAAGTCACATGCTCACCAAACAAAGGAAGTCCATGTGCTATTATCCAAACAGATGTTGGTAGGAAAAAAACAACAGTTATCATAAAGGAAATGAATTAGAAGATATCAAAGCTTCCCTCACACTCTAATAATCTAAGACTTGTGGCTAACTTATAACAACAAAAAAAGTAGAAATACGTATGTAAAACACGTATGTAAAACATTGTGAACAAAATTGAAAAGAAATTTCAAGATTCATTGTAGAATCCTCCTACTTTTGAAATACTCAAAAATAAAGGAGAGATGAAAACTTTAACTTCATTATTTGTCCAAATCAGCTTTAATCTCTTAATATAAATTAAAAGTAGCAACAAAAAAGCCTGTGGAACCTTCATTTATGTAAACACCAATTGTGTTTTATTTATGTGCTACATAAATCATTCTAAGCAAAATAAATTATAGTACCCCAAATGGAGTGGTTGTGAGTTTTATGATTAAAAATAAAAAGTGATTTGGTGGAATTTGTCAGAACTGTTTCCATAAATCTTCCCCCCAGAGAAACATGTCATCACCATGAAAGGTCAGTTGTGTACCTAAAGAATAGCTAGCTCATTTGATTCAAAATGTTAAGCAATTAGAAATAATATTAAAGATACTAGTATATGAAAATCATTTATTCTCAAATGGATTAGGAAAACTCTAACAATGATAGGTATATTCTTAATAATTGTGGAAAAATTCATTGGATTATGGTTGGAGCATGTGAACCAAATTCATGTATAGAAAGAATGATGAGAGCAGCTAATAGAGAGTGCAAGTAGCTGACAATGCTCTGGGTTGTAGGAGACGAGAGAAGACACACTAATGTTGATACAAATTTAAAATGGCCTCCTCATAGGAATGGATCTGATGATTAGGATTTTAAGGAATGGTGTTTATGGTGGCTATGTGTTGTCTTGACCTAACTAAGGGATGCCCACACAGCTGGTAAGACATGATTCTTGGAAGTCTGTTAGGGTGTTTCTAAAAGAGATTGGCACTTGAATCTGTAGACTGAGTAAAGAAGATATGCCCTCACCAGTGTGGGTGGGCATCACCCAATCTGTTGAGACCCAAATACAAAAGGCAGAGGAAGGGCAAATCCTTATTCTACGTGAGCTAGAATGCCCATCTTCTCCTGCCCTCTGACATTTGATCTGGCTTTTAGGCGTTTTGACTCTGTGACTTACACCAGGGGCCTGCCCCATCCCTTCTCAGGCCTTCAGCTTTCCAGTGGGAGTTACATCATCAGCTCCCCTGGTCTTCAGGCCTTTGAACTTGGACTAAATTTTATCACTAGCTTTCCTGTTTCTCCAGATTGCACACAGCAGATTGCATCATGGCTTATCCCAGCCTCCAGGATCACATGAGCCAATTCCCATAGTAAATCTCTTCTTCTATACCTGTATCTAAAATATGTCCTGTTGGTTCAGCTTCTCTGGAGAGCTCTAACACAGTGTTCATGTTTGACTTGCAATTGGTGTTTACATAAATGAAGGTTCCACAGGCTTTTTTGTTGCTACTTTTAAATTAAAAACCATTCCATAAATTATATGTAGTCAGCATTAGCCTTTTTTCCCTTTACTTACTAGTCTTGGTCCGGTTTCTTCCATTTACTTTGGTAATTCCTAACCTTTTTTTTTTTTTTTTAAAGATTTTATTTATTTATTTGACAGAGAAAGACACAGCAAGAGAGGGAACACAAACGGGGAGTGGGAGAGGGAGAAGCAGACTCCCTGCCGAGCAGGGAGCCCGATGCGGGACTCGATCCAGGGACTCCAGGATCATGACCTGAGCCGAAGGCAGTCGCTTAACCAACTGAGCCACCCAGGCGCCCAATTCCTAACCTTTTTGAAGTATTCACTACACCCTTGAAATTCTCTATTGGGGTCATATTTGTTGGAAGCATCAGCTCTGTAGAGTGCAAGACTTCTTCCTCCCCAAAGAGGCAATCATCTTAGTACCTCATGATGTCACCATGACATATGCCACTGATGCATAATAGGATGATTTTTCAGTGCTTTGAGGATGTCTAAAGAAATAGCAAAGACAGGTTAGTAAGAAACAACTGCAAGATTTTATAGGGGCCAAGACGACTGGAGGGTCTTTGAAATTCCTTTCAGTGTTGTTCATAACATATTACACATGTATATAATCCACTTTTTTATTGTTACAAGATAGCCACAACCAGTGGCTATAGCAGAGGTTCATTTATTTATGTGAAACAGAGAATAGCAGTACATGGAAGGTTTTCCAAGGAATGGCAGAGTCTTCTAGAAAACACTCAATCCATACATTTTTCCTTTATCACTTACAGATCATCAAGGCCTACAAAACATGCCATTAAAGCTATGGAATTTTGAAGAGGCATTATTTTAAAGGGCAATACGTGGTCTCACTCATACAGCTAGCATTTTGTGGATCTGTATAATTTGTACAATGGTACATAGTAACAAATCCTTGAGCAATAAAATTCATTTAGTAGGCTGATATTTAGTTTGAGCAGAAAGTTTCTGTACAGAGATTAAGAATACCTCATAAGTATATACATGTTTACCTATCTGAAAAGAAAAAGTGTCCAGTAGTATAAAAGGTAAACCTCCATAGATATTAGTCAAGAAAGACTAGATTGTGTTTCAGTAATCATCTCTCCACTCTTAATGGCTTAAAGAGAATCATTCTTATTCACACTACACACTCATCATGGATCTGCAAGGAGACTCAACACCAAGGGAAACAGTCTGATGAAGAAATCACCATATTGAGTGTTGCCAATCCAACATCCCCCCAAAGAGAAAAGGACACTTTGCAGAACTGCCCACAGGTAATTAGAAACTCCTCTTGGCAGTGGCACATGTCACTTCTACTTAAAACGCCTTCAAAAGAATTGGCAATATCATCCCTATCAGAGTTATTACATACCTAGCAGCCACAAAGAAACCAAACAGTATAATTCTATCATGTGTCTGGAAGATAGAAAGCTGGATATATTCGGTGACAAACACTGATGACTACCACAAATCAGTTTGCAATGGAATAAAAGCAACGAAAACCAGGGCTAAAATAGTGATTCTATCACAGTTTGCATAAAAACAGAAGATCACTTGAATCTGGTAAGAAGGAATTGGAAATGAATAGTGGACCATGCAATTGCACACTATAAAGTATTTATTACCTGCTTAACATGCACTATTCAGTTCATTCTGTGGGTTCTACTCCTTCCACGTTATTTTGCTCTCTTTACAAAATCTTGAGCAAAGAAAAAATTGGGAGGGGAGATAATATTAAGGAAATGCATCTGAATTCCTGAACTAGCTAATATCCTTTTGCACAAGGAGATCAGAGAAGGTTAATAACATCTCATACCCAGTGATATTGAATAACAGATATTCCTATGTAAATGGGCACCCCTTACCCAGGTGCACGTGAAGCATATTATTGCTTCCTTTCTTGGCGTACAAATTATGAAATTTAAGTTAGTTAATTTAGTCAGTGTTAATAATGTTTAAAGCATTGTAGGAATGTATTTTAAGAACTTCTTGGATTGACATCTCAGACCCTACCCCTGATTTTAAAGATTTCACTGTGAAGCTGATCCAGCTTGCTACCTCCTCAGACCCATAGACCCGCAATCTCTGGACTGATGGTGGATGTGGCATTCTCACAGTTCATGGGTAGAAATGGTTTTGATCAGTATATGCCTCTTATGTAGCTCTAAAACCTTGCCACATTTACACCATTTGGGGAATATAGGAAAACTTCTCTATTAGCCACTCCCTCTTCTTACAGATACTTTCACCATATCATTATCTAGCCCTTGATGT